TTGATTCTCAGGTCCCTTATAGTTTTTTTTGCTATGGCTTTCAGTGAGATTAGTTTTTAAATTGATTTTTCGTTTATGTATCATTCATTTTTATTATTAAATATTGGTTGAATTGTACAGATACCCAGAAATGGCAGAGCTATCACGTTTCAGGGGTGCCCATGCCTGGGTTTGGGGAGGAAGCGCTGCTGTTTTTTCGAAAGTTTCCCACTCCCATCCTCCTCCTCTGCTCCTCAGTGATCCCTTCCTGGATTTTGTCTTAGTCCCTTTTTGAACGTCTTTAAAGTCTGTTCTCATGTGTTTCTGTCCCCTCAAAATATATTTTTGCTTTTCCTGCTTTTGCTGTTGATGCGAATGGAGTCACTGGGCATACCTCTCTCCACAACCTTGATTTCCTCCTTCAGTGTCACACGCTTGCAGTTCAGCCAGACTCAGGTGTTGCTGTCGAGCAATAATTGCCATTATCCTTGTGAGACTCCACGGTTTATCGATCTGTTCCGTCACTGATGGGTTGGTTCCAGCCATTTGTTATTGTAAACATCCTGCCTTGAGAGTCTTTGTCGCATTTGCTGGTGCTTATGGAAAAGAACTTCTCAGGTCTATTTTGGGGTCACAATTTCCGGGGTCCTAAGATATACCTGCGTTCAAATTGCCTGGGCAGCATGAAATCATTTTTCAAGTAGCCTTCTTACCATGGGTCCTCACTGATGTTTCATTTGGTCAGATTGTAAAATTTTAAGTTGTAAGTAAAAAATTATATTTAATTGAAGATTCACTTTTAAATCTAGAAATGGAGATAAGCTTTCCTAACCCACCCATTCTCCAATATCAGTGGAAGCACTAAAGTTAACAAAAGGAGAGACTGTTGTGAAAATATTTTGTGAATTGGGACTTCCAGCACACACTAAGAGCGGCCACCCTCAGTGAGGAGAGAGGAATGCAGCATCCACAGAGCACGGTGTAGGAGCAGCTGCGGGACCGCCCTCCCCAGGTGGGCGACTTCCGGACTGTGAGTACTGTGCAGCTGCCAGGCCGGAGGAACATTGATCTTTGCCATCACAGTCACACTGCCCCTCCCCGCCACACTGGGGACCCTCCTGAACTGGGACCAGGAGCAAATGAAGTAAAGATTTGGAGCAAGTTTCTTTGTTTTTAGCTGGCAGCCAGAAAATTCCTGAAAAATAAGCAGAGCTACATTTCAGGAACTCGGCTGCAAACATGTTAGAAAGGTGTGTCTGGTGCCCCAAATAATTCCTGGAATGCCCTACCCTAAAGGAGCGTAAATCTAAGTCATTACCACTGACTCAGCCAACTTAGTAATTGCCCTTGATTTTTCTGTTTCTTTTTTCTCTCTTGCTTTCTCCTTTAACCCTTGATTGATGTCAGGGCCCTTCCTCTGTCCTTTGAGTTCTCAATCTGTAGACTCAAACATCCTACAAACGCAGAAGGCAATTTAGCATTCTTCGCATTTCTGGAGGTTGGGAGGCTTAAACTAAGGGGCTTTTTGCCTAATAATTCTCAGTTAGCTCAGATCGCCCCGGGGGTGAAGGTGCAGTGCTGACTTCAGCAAAGATCTGGGGAAGGCCAGAGTTGATGAGTCAGCTCTGAGACGCTCGCAGGAGGTGTGGGCTTGTTGGGCCTCCGCTGCTGGCGGGGGTCCAGACAGCTGTGTTTCATGGAAGAGTTCAGTGCCCCGTGAGAATGAATGTCCAGGAGATATTTGTGTCGAGAGTGTGGCGTGCGTGCGTGCGTGCACACACAAACTGAACTTGACTAAACCAGCAAGAATAAGCAACTCTTACAAAGCACGTGAACCCAGCCATGAGGACCCGTGAACTTCACATTGCAAATAGCATGTATTTCATGGTACTTGCAAGATTTTAACGGGTGGCTCCTCTTGCCCCTCCCAGTAAGGGTGCAATAATCACAGATGTCCTAAGTCTGTTCACTGAGCACTAGTGTGTGTCAGGCCTGGTGCTGGTGCTGGAAATGAGAGCGTGAAGCAGGAAGACAGGATTCTGCCTGCCTTGGAGGGGCAGTCTAGGGGGAGAGATAAATACTTGCGTAAACAAAGATGATCCGGACTGTAGAATTAGAGGGTGCTTTCTAGAGAATAAGAGGGGAGGGATAAGGGTGTAGGCCTAGAAGTTCAGATTTCATTCAAAGTGGGAGCCATAAAAAGGAAGGAAGTGATTTAGTTGATGTTTTAAAGCCAACTGTCCTAGCTGCCCTTTGGGAATTGGATGTGAAGGGGGCTTGTGATGACCTGGATTTGTAGGTTAGTGATGGTTATAGGAAAAGCAGCACATGCTCAGTGGGCTGACTAGGGTTTTGTAGAGAAAGAGAAACAACGGAGTGTGTGTGAGTGTGAGTGTATGTGCTATTATAGGGAATTGGCTCATACAATTATGAGAGCTGATGGTGTAAGTTCTACTCTAAGTCAAAGGCCTGAAAACAAACAGAACAAAGAGTAGCAGAAGTTCCTGTCTGAGGGTGGGAGGTGGCATTCCCAGCTCAAACAGCCCAACAAGCCAGGTACAGAGGGACTCTGGCTCCCCTGCCTTTCACTCTGTTCTGATCTCCAGGGGGACTGGGTGGGTCTCAGCTGCTCTAGGAGGACAGGAAACATCCCCCGCAGACACACATGGAAATAAAGCTTAGCCAAAGATCGGTCTTTTGTGACCCAGTCAAATCGGCACATGGAATTAATCACCCCATCAATATATGCTTTGGAGGCAGAAAGTACAAGATTTGATGATTAAATGTAAAGGTTGGGGGTGGATGGGGAGAGAAAGGGAGCAATCGAGACACAAACCTGTGTTTCTGGGAGGAGCCGATGGCGTGCGGTGGGGCATTTCACTGGGCACAGGAGCCCAATGCTCGGAGGACCGGAGAGCCGACTGTGGAGGAGTTGGTGCAGAGGCACGCGTGACAGCCTGACTGCACACGGTGCGGAGCTGGGAAGTGTGAGCAGCCTGCGTGGGTGGGTGCTATAAACGAGGCTGATGGGGACCCCTGAGGAGTGGGCTGTAGAGAGAAGGGAAATGCTGGTCCAGGGAGAAACACTGGGGTGGGAAAAACGATCCCCCTTTATGTGGCCCCGATCATACAACTGGTGAGCGTCATAGTCAACACCATTTACCCATTGACCCTCCCACATCCGAAGCTCCACCACCTGGCTTCCCAACCACACCCCTGTGTTGGCCCTGTCCCCTCCGATGGAGCTCTCCATGCCTCTGGCTGTGTTGAGACAACTACAGTGGAGGATGGCCTTGGGTTCCTCCACCTTCTTCCAGCTCAGCAAGCTCCCAGTCCTGCTGCAAGGCCTGTCCCCATTCAGGTCCTCTAAGAGGACTTTCTTCCCTACCTCACAATTAGGTGTTTCTTCCACTGCTGTCTCCTAGATCTTGCAAATGTCTCTTTGGGGAGCTTATAAGGAAGAATTTCACTGCAGTGTTTGCCAAGTTCATAATAAACCCTTGATAAATATGGAAGAAATGAACTTATAGATGTCTAAAATGCTTAATTGAGTGCCTGTCTTTGATCACTTTGTCACCTACTAGGAACAAAAGGTCCTCGACCTTTGAACTGGACCCCTGCAGTGTCACAGTGAAGATGCAGAGAGCTATGGTCATGTGTGTGTCCTGTGCCAGGCACCCTGCCTCCCCTTTTCCTATGCCAGGGAGTGGCCAAGAGTTGTGGGGGTCATAAAAAGAGTATGTGGCATAGTCTTCCTCTGGGGAGGGGATATTTCTTAAAAGTGATTGTTGTACGTCATACTGGGTCTTCCAGAACTGTAAGTTAAAGTCCTAACCCCTCAGCTCTACACATGGTTGTAGGGTCTGTGCAGGTGCTGCCAATTTAGAGTGAAGCCAAGGGGCTGTAGCTCAGTGTTAGAGTGCTTGCCTGACATGCATAAGGCCCTGAATTCCATCCCCAGCTCTAAAATGTAAGATATGTGGTCATGCTGGATTGTGGCACAGCCTGATCGAATCATTGCTGCCTGTTAGGAAAGGGAAGTTTGGATCCCCCCTAGGAAAAGCACCATGTGTTGACAGGGGACTGAAGTGACTGTATCTAAATGCCAAGGGGAGCAAAGGATGGTCACTAATCAGAGACAAGAAGAGGCAGGGAGGGAGCAGACCCCAAAGCCTTCAGAGAACATGTGGTCCTGCTGGCACCTTGACTTAGATCCTGGGTTTCCAGCCTACAGGTCTGTGAGACACTGCAGTGCTCCTATTTGAACCCACCCAGTTTGGGATGCTGTGCTATGGCATCTCTAGGACTCCAGTACCTAATTTTGTGGTCTTGTACTTCTGAACAGAAAAGACCAGCCTAACCAGTCATTCTCAAGAGTCCTCTGGGAAGTCAGAGGCACCTGAGACCATGGAGAAGAAGCCTGACCGTGTATACAGAAGGGAGTAAAAGAAACAGAGATCCCAGTAGAGTGCATGGAACTTAATGAAATCAGCTTTTGAAGCATTTTTCTACCATCCAGTTGTTCAGCTGAGATTTTATTGTTGGGTTCATGAATTAACTAAATGAGCATGTTTCCTATGCAGGGAACCAGTTTTGGAGTGCTCTCAAGAGCAGAGGCTTTGGAGTCACACAGCCCTGGGTTCCACCCCAGATTCCCCACTGCTAGCTGGTGACCTGGGCAGGTCAAGTCCCTTAACCTAGGACAGCCTCCAACTACTCGGATGCCAATCCACAGGTTTCTGCTGCAGTCAAAGAACACAGGGCACTGTTCTGCTGTGGGTACAAAGCAACTGTCCCCAGCATCTACTCCCCAAAGGGACAGTCTGTCCCCAGCATGAATTGGAGCATCTTCAGACAATTTAGGAGCAGACATTCAGGGCAAGTGGGGTGAAACACAGCCAGACACCTGCACCTGACAGACACGTGGAGAAAAATGCAGCATGTGACACCTGGGAGCCCCCAGGGAAAGCGTGGAAAGAACCATCTGACACCACCAGGAACAAACACAGCGGGACACATACTTCTCACTGTGAAAAGGGTCTTTATTTGATTTCCACCACCTTTCTATGAAAGAGTGGTTTCTGTCAGCACTATAAATGCATCTCAAAAGCAGTAGTAAGATTTCTTAAAAATGAAAGGAAGGAGGGCTGGGGATTTAGCTCAGTGGTTCCGCTGCCTGCTGCGTAAGCAAAAGGTCTAGAGTTCAATCCCTGGTACCAAAAAAAAAAAGAAAAGCAAAAAAAAGAAAGGAAGGAAAGTGGTGGGAGAAGGTATAAAATAGAGGCTTGGTTAAGTGTAAGCAGGTTCCTATCCAGAAAGAAAAACAGCATGGTTCTTCCATCAGAGCAGGAATAAGGACACACTAGTTTGCTTGTTCTTGTTATTTGTTCACAAAGAGAGGCTGCTGAGCCTTTTTCTCCAGCACATCTAACCACTGTGGCAAGACGTAACCAAGCTGGCTTCTGACTCTGTGCTCCATGGAGGCTCCTGAGTAGGAGCCCCAAACCTACTTTCCGGAAGGGACAGACACGTGACAGGTCCAGACGCTACAGGAACAGGGAGGGAGGCCTGTGGGACGGAGGCACAGCTGGCGCAGCCCTGTCCTCTTGGGTTGTTCTTTGGCCTGGCTGCCTTAGCTCTGATGATCTGGAAGGCTGGTGGTTACTGGGATTGGGTATTCCAAGGCAGTGCAGTCATCCGACAGGAAGACCAAGTCCTGCAAAAGATGCATGGTGAGCAGGGTAGTCCTGAAGGTGGCCTGGAGCCATGTGTGAATGCAGGGCTTGGTCCTCCTTAGACCATTCAAATGTTCCCCGTTGTGTGAAAACGTCCCACCTCTGACTCCCCAAGGAGAGTTGGCCCTGTCTTTCTTCTCACTCTCGTAGGATCTCGTATGTTCTTAACATTCTTACATATGGGATTCACTCGTACATTGGTTTACCACATGCATGGGTGGTCAAATGGGCAGGAGAGTGAATGAATGATGAATGAATGAATGAATGTACCTGGACTACTGAGCAATGACTCAGGACCAGGCATTGGAAACATTGTGCAGAGCAGCACCAGTACTCACCTTTGGTCCCTTACAGTGAGTGCACATCACTTGCCAGACCATATCATGCTTGTATTATCTTTCCGTCTTCCCCCACTGTGGTGGTTAGGGCTGAACGTCAACTTGATTGGCTTGGGGATCCATCCAGGGGATTGGTGGAGTTCACTTCTGGGTGACTTGGGGGTCTATGTCTGCTCTCTCACCCCCTCCTCTCTGGCTCTGGCTCTGCTCCTAGGTCACCATGACCTAAGCACCTCTGCTCACCATGCCCTTCCACCATGATGTTTCTGCCTTGGAGCTAGCTGACCATGGACTGAACCCTCTGAAACCATGAGCCTATTCACCTTGCCTCCTTTAATTTATGGGTGTGAGGAATTGTGTCACAGTGACAGGAAAGCTGACATACACCCACAGACCGAGGAGAGAAGGGTAAAAGGAGGGTCAGAGCTTCAGAGGAAATATAGAACCGATCTTTGCTACAAGGACAAAGAAATGAAAATGTAATGTCTAATCATTAAAAGTTTGGGAAAGGCTTGCTGTGGCCAGCAGGTGCTAGGAACTCTAGGGCAGGTCACCCTGCTAAGCTTCCTAGGAGGGAGGCATTTGTGATATCGATGGCACACTGCAAGGGTATAATCAGTATTATCCTTCCAGCAATGGCAGGAGGTGGGCTCTGTGCTGTCCCCAGTTCATGTGTAAGGAGACCGTTCCTCAGCATGATGGGGAAGCTACCACCCAGTGCAAGGCACCTGGAGCTGGAGTCTGGGTCGTGAGGTCCATGGCTTTCCGTCCCCTTCCCTTCTCCTACCAGAACCACAGAGCACCTGTGGAGCCCCCTCCTCCTCAGGAAAGTCTCTCTGGCCTGCCCTGGGCAGGGAGGGGTCGCCCTGAGTGTGGCCCCACATCTGTGCAGCTCCTGGAGGTGAGGGGCCTCACCCTGACTGCATCACTCAGCTAGGGCCTGGGGTAGCCCAAGGGCTTTCTGGACAGGATGAGCCTTCTGAGCCTTCTAGCTCCTCCCCGCAGCCCACTCAGCCCCCTGCCCCCGAAGCTCAGCGCATCCAGCCTGGCGGCGAGCAGAGAGGACTCCCAAAGGCACACGCACCCGCCTGCAGAAGGAGTTCATGATGGTGTAGAGCTTCCGCACTTTGTCCCTCAGGGCGTCCACCTGGGCCACTTTCCAGCACTGTGGTGAGGCCACAAAGTCTCGCAGCTGGGCCAGCACGCAGTAATTCTGGGGTAGGCCGCATGTGGGGGAAGTCAGCAGCCAAGGGGCGGCGCTAAGCTCCTCTCCTCCTGCACAGACCCCACCGACTCCCCACACCACGCTAGGCTTCAGCAGCAGGGGCTCAGACCCACCCCGCTCCCTCCCGAGGGCAGAGTCTTACGTGGATGTCCAGGTACAGACGGGGCAGGTACCGCACACAGGCCTCCTGCAGAAGAGACGCATGGCTGGGTGCTCGCAGGGACACGCGTTCGGCCTGTCCCAGAGGGCCCTGGCAGCCCTGCCAACAGCAGCCCAGCCCGGGTCCCCGGCCCTTCCTGGTGCCACCACAGCCACAGTGCTTTCTTGTGCATGTGTCACACCTGCCCCAGATGGGGATCTGCTCTGGCAGAAATCAACTTTCAGAGCACAGCTCTCAAGATATTTGCTGTGCATTAGGGCACTCTATCACGCCTCCCCTGCCTATTTATATACACATATAAGAATTTTAGAGTTGTTTATTATATGGCAGTCATTAGCTATATTAATCTAGGCAGTTAGATATATTTATATATAAATAATATATAGTAACAAATGTATGTGATTTATGTTACTTATATCATTTACGTTCTTCAGTGGAACCTAGATTTACTAAAGTACAAAATATGGTAGTTGACAGGTACAGCTATCCGTGTGCTCCTACGCTGCTGTATGTTAGGGTTGTGTCTTGCAGGATGCAAGTCCGGGAGACGCTGTTCCTGTCCTACAGTAATTCCATGTGATTTGGGGCAAATAACTTCCTTTTCTGTGACTCCGTTTCTCAGCTGTGAAATCAAAGCAGTAGAATACATACATTTTCTTTCTACTTCCTTCCGGCTCTGCAGTTCCCAGCCTTTTCTTTTTTTTTTTTTGATTTTGTTTTTGTTTTGTTTGCCTTCTAAAATCAGATTCCTGTAAAAGATGAGCACTCTCTGTATTGGATAGCAAGGAATTGTGGCTAAGTAGTGCAACTATCCAACCAAATGCACAAAACAATGAACTGATTTGATGGTGTCATGAGTAAGTTGAAATTACGTGTGCCTTTGAATCTAAATTTTGTTGCACCCCCGTACCTCCAGTGGCATATATTTGACCACATCTGCTTAGACAGGAAGCAGAAATACCATCCTCCAGACCCTTAGAGCAGCAGTTACCTCTAGTGGTAGAATTACAAGCACTTTTTATTTTCTTCTTTGTCCTTTGTGCATTTTCAACAGTTCTACAAAGTATATTACTTTTATAGTGAGACATAAATGCATGCTCTTTTAAAAAGAAAATATAAAGAGGTGTGAGGGTACTGCAAGCCCCAACATCTGAGAAGCATTAGTTCTGTTTGAAGCCTTTACAAACAGTCCAGAGACACTTTAAAATTTTGCCCAAGCTCCTAATGAAGTTTAATGGCTTTGGTGTCTGTGCTGGATCCCGGGCCACGCTGCCCCTCGGGGCTTCTGCGCCAGAGTGCCTGGGTTTTGCTCCCTGCTAACCTCTGTCCTGCAGGCTCCTGTCAGCCTCTCTGAAGCCAGGCAGGGCTGGGTGCTCTTGTTACCCATTTCACAGAGAGGGAAACTGAGATGGGAGGCTGAGGGATCCGCTGCAGCCCCTCAGCAGGGCAGGGCAGGGCGAGGGCAGCTCTGTGTCACCCCTTGGCCCCGACAGCTCACCCACTGACATGGGGACTACAGAACGCTTACCTCTTCAACCCCTAATTCTTGGGTTTGGAGTCGGTGGAAGCTGATCTTTTCTTTTATTTTCTTTCCAGTTTTTTACATTTTACAAAGGCTTCTCTGGTATTTGCTAGCAAGTTCCAACACAACTTGTATCTTTGATTCCTTTTCTTCTAATTAAAAAGCCCCCCCCCTTCCGTACTGGGGACGGCACCCAGGGGTGCTCTACTCTCTACCCCTGAGCTACATCCCCAGTCCCCTCCAACCTTTTAAAAAAGTCTTGAGACGAGGTCTCCCTAAACTGCCCAAGTTGGATTCGAACAGGCAGCCGGCCTCCTGCTCAGCCTCTCCTGTGGCAGCTGTACTCACAGGCCAGCACCGCCACGCCTGGCCCTGGCCAAGGCTACGCTTCGGAGAGGAGATCTTTGCGGCCGAGACTCACCGCTGGCTCTGCAGCCTGCAGGAGCTGGAAGTCCCCCGTGATCTCGCGGCTGAGGCCCAGCATCCGGGAGTAGCAGGTCGGGGGTGCGGGCCTTCCTGCCGGGGGCCCGGCAAGGAGCAGCAGGAGGAGCAGGGCTGGCGAGCGGGGCGCCATGGTGCGGGCTTCCACCGGCACCGGCACCGCACGCCTTTATACAGCCCTGGGCTGGGGGTGGTCCAGGTCCAGTCCCGCCTCCGCTTCCTTTGGGCCCAAGGCGAGGGGTCCAGCTGGCAGGAGGAAGGTGCGCCACGCCCCCTGGCCCTCCCCATCCCGGGAGGGATCGGTTAGAGGACAGGCGCCTGGCAGGGAGCACCTGGAAGGGACGCAGCCTCACCCCTCCCGAGCTGGCGATCCGCTTCTGATGAGCGGGCTGAGAGAGAACACGGCAGCCTGGATCAGAGGCCAGGACGGGGCGGTCTGCCCGCACAGACAGGGCGGATTTTAAAGCTGGCTCACCTAGTGGAGCAGAACTGGGGGTTGGTGGACCAGATGTGACCCACCAAGCTCCTGCCTCCAGGCGGAGGGGTTTGGGGTCAGGCAGACTGGTGTCAGCCACCAGGGTCCAATCCCTGATCAGGCAGGTGCCCTGGGTGGGTCCCCACTTCCCCCCACATACAGGGGTCTTTTTGTCTGAGGCTGCCCTGGCACCAGGTGTGAGAGCCTCTCTGAGGCCCCTCACAAGGTCAGAAGTGGGCACAGGAAGGGCTGGGGCAGCGCTGGGGCAGTACCAGCTAGAGGAGGGAACCCCACTTAGGCACCTGAATGCCAGGGTGCAGAGCAGGGCCACTGTCTTCTGGCTGCATGTGGCCTTGGGCCAACTTCTCCTCCTCTTCCTCCTTGGAGATTAAACCTAGGGCCTTTGTACTGAGCTACATCCCCAGCCCTTTAAACTTTTCTTTTTTAAATTTTGAGACAGAGTTTTGCTAAGGCCCCCTTGCCCCAGCCTCCCAGAGTGCTGGGATTACAGCGTCACCACCACAGCCAGCCAGCCAGCTTCTTGTGTCCCCCTCTCCTCATGTGTGCAGTGGAGTGACAAGCGGCCCTAGCTCAGAAGTGCAAAGGAGATGGTGGAGGACTAAGCAGGACCCAGGCCAGACACACTGTGAAGATCCGGCAGTCCGAGCACTGAACCTCGCCATCTCCGTTGAATCCTACGAGTGTCCCTGCAGGCACTTGCCTCAGAGAACAGCCTGTTTACCAGTGGGGAAATGGAGGCCCAGAGAGCTTCAGCAGCGTGGCTGAGATCAGGAAGCCTAGATATGGCTCCATGCCTGTTCTCCTCACGTCCTTCTGTCCCTCCATGTGGAAGCCTCGGGGAGCAGGACCCTGGCCATTGGGTGAGTTGGATCCTTGTGCTGCCCCAAATCTGGGAACAGCCAGAAGGAGAGAGATCTCGCTCCCTTAGGCCGGCTACTCTTGCAATGCCCCGGGTGACAGACACCAAACCCAGTGGGCCATTGCCATTTCCCAGCAAGGAAGCTGAGGGGTACAGAGGGGCTAGGAACCCAGGCAGCAGTGGGCTGGCCTGGCTCCAAAGCCTTGTGCTCCAAGGGAGGGCAGGGGCAGGGCCAGGTGCCCTTGCAGTCCCTCAACAAACATCCAAAGATGACACCTGCAGGTACCAGGGAAACGGAGCGTGGTGTCCTGGGCTCCGGCGATCCTGTAAACAGGTAGAGTCACCCTGGCCGAAGTGTGCAGCCATTTCCAGTGCCCACGTCTTGTTGATCTAGTTTCTGGTGTGCACAGCCCAGGGCAGGGAGCAGAGCTGGGTCTTCCTGTTTTGGAGGCAGCGGCGTGTTCTCTAAACACAGCAAGTGGAGCGCCCGACCCAGACCCAGCTCATGTGTCTGGCAGCTGCTCGCAGGCAGACGGGGCAGGACTGATTGTGCTAGAGGCAGCCACAGCCCACAGACCTGTTTCCTCTGGACGGAGCATTCCAGCTCCCTCCCTGGGGGGTGGGGGGCACAGGCCTCCCTGGCTGACTTGAACCCAGATCGGCTTGAAATGCTCTGGCCTTCTGGGTGAGTTGATTACAGGCCTCACATTCAGAACTGGGGAGAAAAACAAGCCCAGGAGCCATCACCATGCTGGGAATTGGGGTCCTCTGCACCTGGTCTGGAAACTGAGAGTAATGTGTCGCTGGGAGGGTGACCTTGTTTCCCCAGCACATGGTACGGGGTTGTGGTCCCAGCTTCCAGGCACATGGGATTCTCGGAGCTGAGAGTTCGTGCACTTGTTTGTAGGGTGGAAGAGTGACAGGCTCTCCCCTCAGGTCTTCTTGTTCCAAATGAGATGTGGGGGTGCGGGGTCCCCAGGAGTCACAGCCCAGTGGGAGGCAGAGTGCAGGCCCCAGGCCACCCCACAGCCTACCCTCACCCTGCAGAGCCGGAAGCAGGGAGATGGGGAAGCTCCCAAGCAGGGGGAAAGCAGGTGTGCAGCTGTGTATCTGGGTGTCCCAGCTCCGCTAGGTCCCTGGGTCCTCTCCTGAGCCTGAGCATGGCAACACATGGGGTTCGCCTTACTAGTTGTGCCCTTCTCCAGGACTGGGCTGATCTGGTCACCCAGCACCAGCCAGGCAGAGGGGGACACAGTGAGATGGTGCCCGAGTGGCCACATGGCTGCTCTTGCGACTCAGTGGAGCACAAGCTTGACAAGAAGTCTGTGAAGTGGGGCTAGGAGTGGCTCAAAGGTGAGTGCTTGCCTGGTGTGCGAGAGGCCCTGGGTTCTATTTCCAGCATGGGCAGAACAGTGGAGAGAAACCCACATGCTCCAACTTGCATGGGCTGCTTGGCGGACCCTGAATGTAGACTGGCTCCGAGTGCCCGGGATACCCCTTCCCATCCAGCCCCTTCCAGGCATCCGGCTGAGGCCACCAGAGCCACGAGAAGCACCCACCTGTAGTCCCAGCACTCTGGGAGGCTGAGGCAGGAAGACTGGAAGTTCAAGCCCAGACTGGCAAATTGAGACTTAGGAAGATCTTGTTGCAAAAAAAAAAAAAAAAAAAATTAAGGACTGGGAATGTAGCTCAGTGTAAAGGCCCTGGGTTCAATCCCCAGTATTGAGGGGGAAAAACTCCAGGCAGGAATCTCCCCATAGAAAACTAAGACCTTTGTTGTCCCCCAGAGGTCTCTCCACGCACAGACCCCATACCTGGGAGGTTCCTCCTTAGCCGCTCACCCAGAGCTCACGAGCCTGCAGGCACCTCAGCGAGAGCCATTGTGCTTCCCCAGGCACTGTCTACTGAGCACCTACTATGCGCAGAGCACTGTGGCAGCAGCCAGGATAAGACAGTGACAGACATGGGGCTGCTGTCCTCATGGAGGAGAATAGCAAGGGCAATGCACACGCCGGATAAGGACTCATGCTTTCCCGTCCCTGTCCCAGAGGCGACGCCTGCCCCATGACCACTGCAGCAGGCCTGGCTGCGTCCTGCCCTCAGCTCCTTGGCCCCCAGTCTCAGGGTGGCTGGCTGGCTGGGGGCTTCCTCTGGCCATGGCGCCCATCCTTGCCCCGCAGGGCACAGGCCAGAGGTAGCGGGTACTCTCAATGCCTCAGCCAGTAGGGGAAGGCTGGTTAAAGGCTTTACCTGCAGTCCCTGCACAGCCGGGTAGGGGGCTGCCGACCAGTGCGCTCTCCAGTCTCTGATGTCCCTAGCAGGACGCGGGCCCAGACCCCATGCTGGACCCCGAGATCCATTGGCTCCCTCCTGCCTTGTGTCCCTTCTCCACAGGAGCTTTGACCATCTGCATCCAAGTTCTTGCCTCAGTCTGCTTCTGGGGAACCCCAAACTATGACTTGGGGACTTGCCCAGCAAAGGCGTCCACCCCCAGCTGCAGCAGGGCAGATGTGATCACAGCTCTCCGCTCAGTCTGGGGATGGGTCGCAGAGCTGGGACATGGGAGGACGGTGGGCTGGGGGACGAGAGGTCATCACAATGTCCACTACACTCATCCTCTAACGTGGGCCACCACGGACCAAGGTTCCATGTCCCGCGGCCAATGCCCTGCGTCTCCCTGCTAAGCTTCTGCGATTCCCTACTGGCGGACACCACACCTCAGCTGCCAGAGCTGAGCTGCTCCCAGTGTGCTCTCTAGGACTTCTGCTTTAATGCGCCGGCTGCTGGGTTAAGTGTTAAGGATGGAGAGGAGGGAGCTTTGGGAAGTGGCTGGTCTTGGGCCTCTCTCTCTCATCTCCTCACCAGGAATTACTGCAGCTGTCCAGGAACTGGGTAGTGTTCTCAGGGCAGGTCTGCTGCCCGCTCTGTCTTCCCCCATGGCTGACTCACTAGGTGTCATCCCTTCTCCCTCCACCGTGGACGACCCCGTTAGATGGTGACGCCGTGCTCTGGAGTTCCCAGGCTCCAGAACCAGGAGCTAAATAAGCTGCTGTTACTTATAAACTACCCATCTCAGGTATTCAGCTGCAGAAGACAGATTCAGACAGCCCCCCTGTGTGCCCTGTGGTGTCTTCAGGGCTTGGGACACTTTTTTGGCATTGGTGGAGAAAGAGCACTTACTGAACCTTTTCCCTCGGGCTGTTCCAGACCAGCATGTTGCCACAGTGACGCAAGCAGCCAGGAAAGGACTCCTTGTTGTCAGCCCCAAGAGGGTGTGGGACATTCCTGAGGGTACCGCAGGAAACAGACAGGCTCTGGCTATTGCTCTGGCCCCACGGAGCTTGGCCCCACGGAACACAGACTAGCGCCTTTCCAGTCTGTGTCTCCCTGTTGTTACTTGTGACAGTGTCCAAGGCTGAAATCGCCACAGCTGATCTCGGTTCTCCTCTGTTGCCAGCTCTAGCCACAGAAGGAGTCTTTGCGGGTAACACAGGGATGACGCTGGTGGTCGCTTCCACAGGAAACGGTGCATGCGCTAGGTCACACAGAGTCCCAGCGAGCACCAAAGACCACTTTGACAGCAAGGGGCCACGTGTGTGTCTCCCCACTGCCACCTGCATTGAGGTCAGAAGCCAGGAGCCCAGGACATGGGCTGGCCCAATCCAGCAGTGCCAGCCTGGTGGAGTTGGGACAGGAAAGCAGTTGAGCCAGCAGCCAGGACACTGTGTCCTGTGTTCCCGCTGATGTTGGAACCCCACGGTTAAAAGCAGCACTTCTCCTGATGTTTATAGGACATGTTTTTAGCGTGTTACTTTTGCTCTTGGCAAACCCAATAGAAATTTGGCCCACTGGTGCAGAGGGAAGGAAGGGAG